ATGGAAATATCAACTGTAGGCCCCTGGCTCATTTGCCCCTTCCCACCTTGGTCTAGACTTGACCATGCTACCAAGGCCCCTAAATTGTCTCATGCCTTAAGTGGGGCCCAGGGAGGGGAGAGGCCCTTGGTGACCCCAGTGGCCTCATAAGCTCCTCGTGATGCAGGTTCCTGATTTTATTTGTGGGCGGCCTGGGGTCAGTGGATTTTCATACCTCCCTGCTGACCCAGCTAAGTTATTGACGCAAGCGAAGAAAGGAAGCAAGAGCGGTGTCCGTTTCTCTTCTTTTTCTTTTCTTTTTTAATGTTCTTCTGTCCTTTGAAAGATCAAAGGAGGGCCAAATAGAATTCCTTTCTTTTCTTTTCTTTTTTTAAAACCCCACTCCCTACTACCCTAATAGAATACAGGAGGGAAAATTCCAGCAAACGAAATTGTTCTCAGACATCTTTTTATTTTCCCTTTCAGTGGCTTTGATTTAGGTCCCATGGCTTTAATCAAAGTGTTCAAGGAGGCACAGAAAGGAGGCAGCTAAACCCATTCCTGGCCTCACTCTCTCTTCCTACTCAAACCCTTCCCCCGCCGCGCTCCGCATTTTTTATTAATGTGGGTGGGAAAAAATATTCTCACAGCAAATGAGTAAGTGAGGACTAGAGAGAAATTGTATTTTCTGAGCTAATAACTGGATGCTGGCTCAGCCACTCTGCAGCTGAGGGATCATCCCTGAAACTCAATTGTCCCTTCTCTCCTCCCTTTTTTACTAAATTCATCCATCGCTCTGGGCAAAATAAATAAAAGTCCCAATAAAAAAATCAATCAATCAATCATTTTCCATGAGCTTACGGGGCACCTACGAAGGTGTTTCTGCTCTGGGGGCAGTCATTGCTCACACCAGGTGTCTGGGGGCTAGGGGGCACTTTGGAGATGCTGGCTCTGTCATGGGGCCTCCATGCTGTCATCCCTGCCTTAGGCCCACCAGGCACACTGCTCTCTCTGGCCCAGCTCCTGCCAGTTTTCCCTGGGTGATACCCTATGAATACACATCTAGAGTGGAGCAGCAGCCAGCCCTTTGGGGCTCGTTATGGCTGGATCCTTGGGGAAGGGGATGGCATTGAGTACCAGCAGGTGAAGGTCAGCATGCTGGAGCACATTGTCAGGTGGCCTGCAGGAAGACTTACACTCTCCTCACCTCTCTGCTCCATGTGGCATTCATCCTGCAGACATTCGATGAACATCAGCATTGAGGACCATGCAGGTGAAGGTCAGCATCTTAGAGCAGGTTGTCAGGCGACCTGTAGGAAGACCTGCACTCTCCTCACCTCTCTGCTCCATGTGGCATTCATCCTGCAGACATCTGATGAGCACTGGTGCAGGGTTCAGAACAGGGCCACCCCCCAGGGACATGGGAGCATGCCCCATCCTCACGCTGTATCAGCCAGTAGACTGGCTTGGGGGTAAGGGTGGGAGGGAGGGTAGCTAAGGGTGGGTGTCCTGGACCATGCGTGCTCAACTCAGCCCACAGGAAGGACGGCGCTCACCATCTACCTCTCCAAGCAGACCGCCCCGTACGTGTGGTCTTCCAAACTCCAGTGCGGACACAGGCACAGAATACTCTGCAATAGCTATGGAGGGCCTGTGGTTTCTTCTTGCAAACCTGCCCATTTCATTTCATTTTATTTTTTTGAAAGAAGCATCATTCAACTCTAAGGCAATTTACGTATAGACCTGTCACAAGCATCCAATATGCCAGCTAAAGAACGGAAAAGTCACGACACTTGTACTTTGGAGATGTCCCTGGGTGGCACAAATGGTTAAGCACTTAGCTACTAACCAAAAGGTTGGAGGTTCGAGTTCACCCACAGGTTCCTCAGGAGAAAGGCCTAGGTGATTAACTTCCAAAAAATCAGCCACTGAAAACTCTATGGAGCACAGTTCTCCTCTGACACACATGGGGTCACTAGGAACTGGAGCAGACTTGATAGCAACTGGTTTTGTTTCGTTTGTATCTCTGTGTGTGTGTGTGCTTTCGTAGCCCCGCATTCCTGGGGTGTAATTGAGTCTCTCCAGTCTGTTTGTCAGGGTGAGCCCCACCCTTGCTCTCACCCCCTCAGCCTCCTACCTAGGTGCTGTGAGGGGAGGGAGGGTCATGCCTGGGACCTGAGGGTTGAAATAATTGACAGAGCATATTCTCCCAAGCTTTCTTGGGAGCTCATTAGGAAGGCCTGAGGGACAGCGGGCATGCTCATCGCTATTTATAGATGAGGGGCAGACCCGCCTTAAGGTCCTGACCTTGCTGTCCCCTGCTCTCTGGGACCCTGGTTCTGGAGGCGGGCGTTGGAGGAGAGGGAGCCCAAGCTTCCAGGCAAGGAAGGTAGCAGTGGTTCTGAGCATGGTGTC